GCTTCATATGAGTAGAGGAAAAGTCCGCTAGCTGTTAGGCTAATTTATACAATGTAAAATGCCATAGGCTTGTGCTAAAAACATTAACATGTTGTATTAGTGGGGAAAATGTATCCAGATAAAGACAAGTGTTTGTCTGTGAAAGCTGGGAGTTATAGTAAAACTGATTTGTGTACTTGTGTTTGAAATTGCGACTATTAAGCCATGTTTAGTGTGTGTTTAAAGTGTGTTTTGAATCAACTAAACTTTACAGCACGTAACAGAAACCACACCGTTGACTAGTGTTTTGAAGGTGTAACTGCAGAGTGACACAGACACACCACCGCACAAGTATAAATGCTCACAACGGCGTAGGCGACGTGCATAGGCTATGGCGTAGGGTCTGCTGCACAAGTATAAATTCCGCTTAACCCTGGTGCAGCTAAGTAGCTGTTCACTGTCCCTGTTAAATAATAAATAAATAAATGGAAAAAAAACAATAACTGTTTTTTTAGCAGAGATGTGCATGTTCTTAACATAAAACAAAAAATATATAATCTCAAACACTTTTAATAACATTCAGCCCACACTAAAATGTGTTACATTGTGTCCCGATCTCCCCTATTTTCTTAGGCTGTGGAACATTATAATTGTCTTTTTTCCTATTCTCTGACATTTTACAGACATGACAATTACCCACTTCATAAAAAATAACTGGATGGTTAAAAGATGATAAAAAATAATCTTAGTTGTGCACCAGACTGCAATGTAAGCACCAATAAATGTGGCTAATACGCAGTATGTGCCAGATTTCAGCTGCCTCTTCACCCCCCTTTCTGCATTTCCTCCTGGTGTCACCACACCGCTGCTGTTTGGGGGTGTATAACAGCAGACCACGCCCCACAGGGTCGACGCTGCTACAAGAGTCCCTGCGCCACTCTTTGATGTGTACACTCCTCCACGCGACAGGCGCGTGGCAGCCCGGCGGAGAAAGAGTAGAGCGCGAGAGTTTGCACTACTTTGGGACGGTGGAGGGTAAAAATATTGATTTGCGGTACTCGGCTGGTGTTACTGGGAAGGACACGGACTGTGAAACAAGCGGAATTCAGGGTATTTTGTGTAAATACGCGGTTTGTAGAGGCAGGGGTGGGAAAATATATAAATTAAATCAGGGCACAGAGCAGAAATGAAGTGAAAAACAGCTCGACTCTGTTTCTCAGCACATTTCAATGTGAGTTTACCTCACTTTTTAAGGTGTTTTTTAATCTTACGCACGGTTAAGCTCTAGTTTCTAACTTTTAATAGTCGCAGTTTACAGTTTCCTATCGACAATTCCGCGTCTTGTTTTAATATCCGTCACTGTGTCATGACTTTAACCTCAGCACAGGTCACACAAAAACTTTCTTATTTTCTGTCATAAAAATAATTTTGGCATAACTAAAAAATAAATCATTTCAGCTTGGCCTAATATTTCCTGGGAGGCTGCAGTGCTGGGCTGCAGGGCGGAGGATCTACTTGTTGACCGGGGCGCAGACAGTCCGACGCCGGGGCTGCAGGGCGCTCTGCAGCCGGCTGGCAGCTCCGCTTTGTTGTCTAAACCTCATCTCCTCAACCCAAACTAATAGGCTGCTGACCGGGAAGAGAAGGGGGGAATATGGAGGCTTGTATTTGTTCAGCTGAGGGGCAAAAGACACTTTGGGCAAACTTCTAAAAATGACTCGTGGCTCTTAACTTGTGCGTGGGCTGCGTGGGAAAAGGCGTTTTTGGTCACCAACTTTTTTTTTTTTAGGTTCTCGCCCCATAAAGTTTGCAAGGCATATGGTGAATAAATAAATACATTTACAGGGCCATTCATACACTTTGACAGCTTTACTACAGGGTCAGCTTCAGCTGAGGGTGGTCATCATGCTAAAACATCTGGAAATAAGTATTAAACATGTCTCACTGTATTTTCATCTACAACATGTCTCAGGGCAGATTGAGTCCTCCCTGGATAAACAAATAGAGACAAAACTTAGAGTTCAGCTGTTCAAGTTTAGTGTTACTGAAGCCAAACTTAAGCTTCTTTAACCTCAATGATTTAAAACTTTTAGAAACATTTAGATAAATCTGTTAATGAGTGAAAATATCTTTCAAGTTGACTTCTTCCACTTCCTTTCAATCTTAAACCTTAATTAAGACTGTTTCTCAAACCCAAACTGACTGACAGGGTTAGAGAAGAGTGGATTTAAATGGTTTAATTTCAGAAAACAAAAAGATGACATTCATTTAGCACCATGAAGTAGCCTAAAGAATATGACAGTGAAATTGGTGCAGCAATACTGCAGTGTATAAATGTTCAATTGCAGGTAAAAGTACTCTTAAAATGTAACTTAGTGGGATTTTATTAGCAAGAAAATACACTCAAATTCCTGTGAGTGTCATACTTTTAGCACATATATTAAATTGATTGATTATTATTTACGGTGCATGAAGGTGTGAGTGTTTTATTGTGGTAAATGTGAGCTCATTTTAACAAGTGTGTTTTGTATTTAGACAGTGCATTATATTTTATTAGGTCATAATGTTTTATGTAGAATCTGTGAGGTTACTGGGAACTACATTTATTACTGTAATTGGGTAAAAAAGTAGCCTTATGTGTGATAAAAAGGAAAAAGGAGGTGTAAAGTACAAGAATCAAATGTGTACAGTACTTGAGTAACTGTAGCTGGCCACCACCGAAAAAGAAATCCGCAGCGACCCACATCCCGCGTCCCAAAACTTCCCCGGTTCGGCTCCTGGGTTGATCAGCTGAGAACCACCTCTGATTGACAGCCCCGAAACCCCGTCTCCATGGAAACCGCCTCAGCGGCGCCGCGAGGGCTGGCTCGAGGGCTGCTGTGAATGGGGTGACGTCACGGCGCCGGCGCCAGAGAGTCTGCTGCTCCAAAGACAGAGAGCGAGAGCGAGGGGAGAGAAGGAGGGAAAGGGAAACAGGGAAGAGGAGAGGAGAGGTAGGGGTGAGGCTGCTGCTGCTGCCGGAGGTAGTGAAGGTGGAGGTTCGCGCGGCTTCGCACCGACGTGCTCTTGCGCCAATTCATCACCTTTCCTGTCAGGCATCAGTCATGGGCGTCGCGCGAAAATGTCCACAGCTGTGGGAGCGAAAGGAAGACGGGGAGAAAATGGAAAAATCCTATTGCACCAGATGTGGACACAGACTGCAGGAGCTCCAGATTATATTAGAAATGCATAAAAAGGCAGGATCGCCAGACAGCTGAAGGAGAAGCTGTCCGTGCCTGCTGAAGAGAACCGCGCGTAAAAACACAATGACACAGATGGTGTTTTGCTGGATTTTGGAAAATACTGCAAAACATTTCACTGACATTTTCTGCGACTGGGAGGCAAAAATCATCATTACATAGATTATTATAGGTCAGAGCAATTTACTTTGTCCTCATCATCTCTGCTCTGTGCTTTTTAGAAAGATCCTACCTGCCTCTGCAGCTCCTTTCGTCCATACTCCGGCTTTTAGAATTTCCTTGCTTGTGTCTTTCACCTGAATTGTCCCTGCAAAATAAAACCAAAGCATCAAACTCATCACAATCTCCATCCTGAGTGTTCACACTGACCCCTCCGCCTCTTTAAAAACACTGATTTGATTTTTTTTATCGAGGAAATGTAATCCACAAAGCAAAAAATCAAACACATCACAACACCCCCCACTGCCCCCGGGGGCAATTAGTTAGTGCAGCATCAAACAGCCCCTCCACCACCATCTGAAGAATGAAGCGTGTAATTCCTACAAACAAATGGCTCATTCAGAAAACATTAAAGTGTCAATAGTAGTTAATCACCTCTTCACGATGCTCACGATATGAAAGGCACATTTGCGGGGGCCATGACTAAATGAACTTTGACACAACATGCTCAGGTGACAATTAATAACACTCAAGTGCACAGGACCTTAACTGATGCGTTTAGATACGCACAGCCACTTAAAACACACGCTGGGTAAAAACACTTAAATATGGTGCGCACAGAAAGCCTTAAAACACTTTAATTATTATATTTGTCTGACTGTGATAAACAGTGCATTAAAGTTGTCCATCAAAGCCTCATAATTTATATATTTCCTGGTCATACTGTGCGCACCATCTCCAAAATTCACATTACTACACTTCACTAGTAAATTTGACACACTGCTGGTCACAGTGGATAAAAGATAGACAATCCTAAAGTGCGTCAAATTTCTAAATCATATATTTCAGTCAAGTGTCACCACATATGATCAAAGAAATCCCCAAGCTTTATTTTCTCGTGCGTAAAAACCCTACCAAGTATTTGTCTTATCGCCGGTTTGACCAGTTTCCTGGTGTAACCTGTTCCCACTCAAACATTTCACTCTCAGTTTGTTATTCAGTGTCAGAAACTTGCCTTCAGACACACACAGACACACCGGTCCGGGCTGAGGTGAATTAAGAATCATCAGACGCGCCTGATCTGGTGTCTGTCATCACTGCTCCTCCAAACACCTGCACATTGCGACTAAATGTAGAAGAATGAGAGATTACTGATGATATATGAGCACTATGTGTGTGAGATAAGTTATCAAATATTAACTCTGGCACCGTTAAATTCATTTTTATTGTGAATTGTAAAATTATTTTTCAATTTTTTGCTTGATTTTTATTATTAAACTCAAGATCGAGTTTAAACTGTGAAGGCAGGTACTGGCGCGTGCTCACACCTTGTCCATAGTCAATTGACAGCCATGCGAATCATTAATTTTCTTGATCAGAAACAGGTAAGGGCTTAATTTTCCAAATTGCCCACCGGAGCTGCTCAAGAGCCCTCTGGGTTCCGCCTCCAACATGCGTTGCCACTGGTAACGCGGCGGAGAAGAGGAGGGATCTGAGCAGCAGAAGCCAATAGGAGAGCTAAAACGCGCTGAGTGGCAGAGGACTGTTATCCAATCAGGGCGTTTGACCCGCCTGTGTCGCATGCCCAGCCTGCTGCCTATATAAACCACTCTGACAGCTTGGTAATCCAGTCTGATCGCTGATCGTCTGGCAAAAACAGGACCTAAAAGAAGCAAGATATCGCCACGCACAAACCCCCCCCCCCTTCATCTCGTCTAACTTAACACTGACAAAAATGAAAGCAATAAGCCCCGTGCGGTCCTTCCGGATAAACAACGCGAATTTATCAGAGCACTCCTTGGGAATCTCTCGGAGCAAGACCCCGGTGGATGACCCGCTCAGCCTGCTGTACAACATGAACGACTGCTACTCCAAGCTGAAGGAGCTGGTGCCCAGCATCCCCCAGAACAAGAACGTCAGCAAGATGGAAATCCTGCAGCATGTCATCGACTACATCCTGGACCTGCAGATTGCGCTGGACTCCAGTGTCGCACTAACCAGCCTGCATCACCCTGCGCGGCCGGGGCAGGCTCCATCCAGGACCCCTCTGACCACCCTCAACACAGATATCAGCATCTTGTCATTACAGGTAATTACGCTGTAGCTAAACCAGATCTCTAATTGGGGGGGGGACGATAGCCCGGTGTGTTGTGGAAGATATTATATTTGTGCGCATAGCCAGCGCGCCTTTGTAAGCCCTATGCGTAACTCGCACAAAATGGCTTGTTGGAAAAGAAAATGGCATGTTTCTTTTTTTTTCTTCCTTTTGTACAGAATGAGATGAGGAAGAGATCCGACCTACATAACACACTGTGCAATGCCAGACACCTCGATCGGATGCTGCGTAAAGAATTAACATTTGGTCTGTTTGTTTGTTTGTTTTCAGTCCCCGGAGTTGCCATCAGAGCTGATGACAGATGACAGCCGGACTCTGCATCGTTAAAGCGGTAAGTAGGCTGTCCTCATGTCTGCTGCTGCATTCTGTCCAGGGCTTTTAGGCTCCGCTACAGCCTGTCTCCCAGTCTGCTGGAGCAGAATGGACTAGAATTACCATTTACCAATCCATTTGTTCTCTGCTAATGTGGTTGACGTCTCACGTTGCTGTAATGCTCCCAATATGTTTTGCATGAGAATGCGGCGCATCACTGGGGCGTCAGTTGTGACAAGGTTGACTTGAATCCAAATTTGATCATACATGAAACACAAAGATCACACCATAGGGCTGCTGAATGTGTCAGTAAGGTGACCCTGATTAATCGAGTAAGTCATGTGCTGTGTCTTAAGATATTTTGCTGGGAGTTTAGTGGAATGAAATGGAAGATATTCCTCCAGGCAGCTCGGGTTACTGTATATAAGTAGCAGTCGTCAGGGTTGTATTATACCCTCTTGTGTCTATAATGAAGAGCATCTGCAACAGGAAAATAATGGCTGTTTGGATTACTGCTACTACGATGTCTGCACATAATTGGTACAAGAAGTGGGTAGGCGCCAGCTGAGCGGCAATTACACTGATTCTTCCCCAGATTGTAGGCTGAAGTTGTGCGAAAAGTGTGTGTGCGCGTCCCCCCCTTTTTTCTCCCCTCTCTGTCTCCCTCTCTCTCTGTGTGTGTACATCTGGAGCGCAGGGTTTGCTTAGTATTGGGAGTGTTTGGTTAAATGTTAAAAACTGCGGCTTCCTCCCTGGCGCCAGTCTGTCCGGATCTCTGCCCTGTTTGCATTTTCTAAACACGCCTCTCTTTCTCAATCTTTTGCAGGTGTTTGGTCAAGACGCAAAAACACACACAGGACCTGGGGAGCAGGACTTTCCTCCACCCCCCCTCACCCACCACCACCACCACCACCACCACAACCCTCTTCTCCAACCTCTGTCCTCCAGGCCTGGATTTTTTTCTTTTTTCTTCTGACGCTGAAATCAAGAGACTTTTGCTTATTATGGGACAATCTTATGTGATGTGTTTTCTGTTTGGACACTTCATTATTATTTAACTTAAGACTTTTTTTTATTTGTGGGTCCTTTCTGGAAATGGAAGGCGCGTTATATTCCCGACAGTGGGAGGAAAAACGAGATTATTGTCACAAGGATTATTCCCCCCCTCCTCTTCTCTCTCACACACCCTCCCTTGTCCCCCTCTCCTTGTTGAAGTCTTCGCTTTTTTTGCGGAGGTGGGAACGTGAATAGAAAAGACAACTTGGTTAGTTACTGTAAAAAGTTTAGTCTTGTCTTGTCAGAATTGTTGGCACATGAAGGACTGGACGTTGTTTAAAAAAAAAAAGTTAAAATGAAAGAATGAAACCTTGTGAACTCTTATCGGGAGTTTATCTTGTATAGTTGCAGGAATTTGAAACTTCTGCAAAAGTGTAATGTTGTACTTAATTATGCTGAAACTTTTTATAAAAGTAATGTAAATTGTACCTTTTTTTTTATACAAAAATAAATCAAAAACGCAACTTGAACATGTTTCATTTTGGGGGAAAGGGGGGAGAAGTGAATGCTGGTGTTCAGGAGACATCAAAAATAGTGCGTAAAATCCGTTTCCCAGCTGTGCGTCCAGCTGACTTTCTATAAGGACATGTACAGTGAACATGTGACGCACTTCAAAAAAAAAAAAAAAAACAAGATCCCACAACAAAGTGTCCTTATCAGACCTGCAGTATGTGACCTATAATAGTCCGAAAACACAGCGTCAACACTTCCCTCGAGGCAAACACGACCCGGAGGCGCACAGTTGCATAAAAGCTTATTTAAGGCGCACTGGCTGCACTTTTACTTTCTCACATGCTATGTAAAGTAAATAGGATTAAATGGTTGAGCGTGACAGGCTGAGCCATTAAATCACTGGGCTGTAGGGCTGTTGGTTTAAAACAAAAGTGGAAAATTGTGGAAATTTAAAGTTGAGGTGAAACTGGGCCGGTGATGCGTTTATGATTCCAACAGTAATATTCAACTTCATTAGAGAGGTAATTTCTTATGTTTAAACAGCACTTTGGTTGGGCCTGTGTTGCCTATAATACACCTAAGACCAAACAGCACTGTGTGACTCTATCAGCCACATTAATTTGAGTATAATAGTGAATGTGAATGTAAACGACCAGATAATATGGACAGAGGAGCGATGGTAGGTAATTCAGCCTCTAACTAAAATTCTAGGGGTGACAAATTAGCTGTTCTTGAATGCTCCACAGTATAACTTGGCAGTGGGCACGGTGCTGTAAAGGTGATATCAGAGGTTTAGATGACTGTGGTAAGAAAATCTAACACAACCCTGTAGTGGAAACCCAACTGTCAATCATCTCTTCCCTAAAATACAGCATGGCTTCTCCAATATTTTCACACCACAGAACCGTCAACTAAGCATGTAACCCCAGGGACCACTTTAAGGGGTCTGTCTTGATTAGGTGTGTAAGCTGTAGGAAACTATATTTACATGATAACACTATTAATTAAATAATTATGTATAAACTTTAAGATTGCTGTACAAAGTGTCTGCAAACCTCCTCAGATGACCCCTGCAGGTCCACGCACCCCACATTGAGACTCACTGAGCTGAAGTTGTCACCCTCAGTAGTGTAAAACACTGACAGGCAGAGTCCGTGACACCAGCCTGCAGCACGTTTGTATGGAGAGTGCGCCATCTATCGGCGGATATAAATCCTGTCAGTGACGCCCTCCCTGTGCTGTCACCCTGCCTGTTCTTCTGCACTGCAAAGCCTCTCCCTACAAACTGCTGATTTCCCTGCAAGAAAAGAACAGAAAAGCGGAAACATGAGACTAATTTTCAAGGGTCCACATAGCAAAATGTTTATTGATTCACAGAACACCATTTCACAAGGAACTTTGGAACAATCACCAGTGCATGCACTTTTTCTTTCACAATATCTGCCAACAGCACACGGCACCGCTGTCTTACACTGCCATCTATTTGAATTATTTTAAGTACCAAACACAGCACTGCACAAAACACTTAGGAGGCTTAAGTTCTCAGTAACCTGGAGCTTTTTCCTTTTTCAGTCACGACTACATTTCCTGAAAACCACTTTTTTTTTGTAACTTACAACGTCCACAACATTAACATTCCATCACTAGACTATTCTCGTAACGGCACCACATTCACATGAGAAATAAATCAAACCTAAATGATTTAAAAGCATGGGACAGTTAACGCAATCCCAACTGACTGAGTAATTTTTGGTATCATTAACCTCCAAATGTAATTAATAATGTGGCGTATGATTTGTCATGGCTTAAATAAAGGTGATATTTTTTTTTACTAAAGCTAAAGATTCACAGCAACACTTCCTACGTTTCCTTCGTAACAGTAGAACACACACCTACTCCAATTCTTTGGAACACGCCACAACACCAACAGTATAATAACATCACCATTAACATCTAGAACAACCGTCTATGTGACCCTTGACAAAACAACGACCAGCTTCTCAGAGGACGCTCTCCCTCTCGTCTCCCAGGCTGATGGTGCGCAGGTTCTGGTTGTGGATGGCGGCAGTTGTGGTGTTAGCAGTGCTGCTGCTGCCGGGGGTGATGATGATAGGTGTCGAGATGATGCTGGAGGAAGAGGTGGTGGACTCCATGCCTGTAATGTTAGCCGGCTGCTGGTGGCTGTTGTTGGTGTTAGTGTTGGTGGTGGTGGTGTCGTCAGGGCTGTTCACGTTGTTGTTGAGGGTGCTGCTGCTGGTGGTGCAGTTGAGGTTGCTGACCCCGCTGGACGGCCATCCCTCATCTGGGCTGCTGGCCATTAGGCTGGCCTCGGACGGAGCCTCGGAGCAGATGGACATGCGGGCCACCGCCGTGTCCTGCAGGCCGCTCAGGCTGCTGGGGAGGAGGCCTCTCTTCTTCACCAGGCCCTCCAGCTCCAGCGCTTCTCTCCCTCTGTCGCTGTCTCCTTCGGCCTCCTCCAGAGAGCGGTCTGAGGAGCTGTCGCTGGAGCGCATCCCTGAGTCGGACGAGTCCTTCTTATCCAGGAGGATTTCGGTGAGGAAGCCAGGCTTGGTCAACAGCCCAGTGGGCTGGGAGCCGCTGTGGGACGACAGAGCACCAGCTCTTGCCTCTTTGTGGAGGAGAGGTGTGGTGTTGTCCGCTTCTTCTGGGCCAGAGTCTTCGTCGTTGGGCAGCTTGTGGTAGTACGCCCCGGCTCCCTTCTTCCTGCAGCCTGGAGTCCTGGACGACGCGCTGTGGTCCAGCTTCTCGTCCTCTTCACTGATGGGGTCAAGAGGCTGGGCATCGGTCCCTGAGGGGAAGTCTGTGGCATCGCTAGGCTTGGAGCCTCTCTTGGTGAAGGACTTGCGGCTGTCTTGGTCAGCTCCTTCTTTGGCCTGAGGAGAGGAAAGAGGATCCAATGAAAAGAACATGAATGTATACAGTATCTTGTGTGTTTGGCCAAGAGGCCTCTGAACAGGGGATTCCTGTCTCTACTTTATGTGCCAAGAGAAACAAAGAATATAAGCCAATAATTAAGAAGAAGAAGCAATGATCTCCCATTTCCCATCCCAGAAGAAGAATTTTTGCTGTTGCACAAGCAAGAGGAATACAACATTTAAAAACACAAGTTTAAGAGAGACATAACAAACAGGCCCAGAAACCACGTCTACACGAGTTAATGACAACGGCGACCACACTAATCTCACAGCGGGAGCCTCTGCACTATTTATGATGTCAGTGATGAGATGGCAAAAACTCAGCGGTGTACATGTGACTGACCACCCACCCCTTTGTCCTCTGAGCCAGCAGCCTGAAGGAATTGTCCAGGGTGGGGCTGCACGGGCCGCTCTCCATTACCACCGGACATCTCCAGCTGAGCCATCTGAGAGATGTACTCCCTGTAGGCGTCGTGATACTCGGCCTGCTGCTTGTCTGTCAGCTTGCAGATGTCGTTAGAGGATTCCTGAGAGTTGAGGCTGGACATGCTCGAGGTGCGGAGATTTGCCACCTGACGAAACGAGAAAAAGATGGATTGATGTACAAACATCAACGTGAGTTTGAAAGTAATTTAAGAGTGAGAATGCTGGATGGTTCAGGGCTGACAACCTTAATCTACACCTGAGTATAATAAATACAAAAATGAGGCACTTAAAATTGCTATATTTTAGGTTAGTAACCGATGGAATATTCAGAGCATGAGAATCGGATAAAGTGAAAAAGTTGTTGGCAAAGAGCACAGACGGAGTGGCAATGAAAGCTGTGGTGTGTTTTCAGTGTTGGATGATTTGAATTTGAAAAAGATCACAAAGTGAGATCATATAAAATAGCAGCAGAGCCAGCTGTCTATGTGTGAGTGTTTGCTCATGTCTCAGAGATTTTGCAAATTGGGAATAGGGAAGGTGAAAATAACAAACAGGGGGCCCCTTGACACCTTTTGGTGCGCTGCAGTGTGTGTGTGTATTTTTAATTCTGTTCAAGAGCACCATAAGCTTCCTCTGCCGTGCTCTTTTCTCACCCAAAACCACATTAATGTGAGACCAGTGAGGTCACCAACATACCGGCTTGCTGCAGAGGACTTGTGGCCTTGTGACAGTTTGGGGTGTGTGACCTTGCGATCCCATTTGCGAGTGTTACACGCTCACACATATGCTGACACCAGCAACTTTAAGACCTCTTATCTTCTCGCATGTTTATATGCGTGGGTATACTGTGCATACACGTAGTCCACATCTCTCTGATGCTATCTGCTGCTGTGGTGCATTCACACTAAGCTCCTGACAGAAAGACTGACCGGCCAGTGTGAGTGGTTGTTGAATCTCGGAGGTTCCTCCAGCCCTGCTCCACTGAGCTCCTCGAAGCTGAGGTTGAGGCTAAAGGCCGCCGCTTCCTGCTGGGCTCCCCCTGAGCGTCTGTTGGGCTCCCCGTGGTGCACGCTGCTGCCTTGCTCGCTTACAGCTCGGGACTCGTCTTGAAGCATAGCCTGGCTTTCTGCATGACGCAGTTCCATCACCTGGGAGAGACATTACAATTTCAGATCAACACATCATTTGTTTCAGGACACAGAGTCAACGATCAACATGTTTTTGAAAGCATGTGACAGACAAAACAAGCGTGTTACACAGCAACAACAAAACATGTGTTTGTGCGAGTGAGCTGTTGCTCAAGTAGAGCTATTCAGCTGTCCACTCCTCCCTGACAAAACCTCCCTTCATCCAGATATCAGTCAGCCATCTTGAACCAGATGTCTGTGCTGGCTGCGTCCTGGCAACACAACACTGGTTGGTGTGCGGAGCTGTAAGGCCACTGCACTTTCCAGCTGCTCCTACATGAGCTCTGCATTGGATCTCCGGTAAAACACGACCAATCCGGGGCTCTGGTTTGGTATTAGGAGCACAGACATCTGATGAAGTGGAGTCGGCTACATGTGTAAGTGATTTCAGCCTCGGCTCAGCTGACTGGACTCCTGGCTGACTGACTAGCGCCCTTCTCGTAATACGGATTATAAAATCTCCATCCCAATGTCTCAGCGCAGCACAAGATGTCGTATTACGAGATGCTGTCTTGCTTCTTTTTGGAATAAACAAGAGCTGACATATATCAACAGGAGGGCTCTGGCAGGGCTGTCTGTAAAGGATCACAGAGTGGGTAGAATGTATGCTATTGTAAATCTGTTTCAGGCCTTTACTCTGGAGTAATGATGGAGTAGTTAGTCATCGTTGGAGGACTGATGCTTTCTTTATTATTTATGTCTACTGATGGCTCACTTCTTTTCATTTAAAAACAAAAAATGTCTTCAGGACTGTAGATAATATTACATATTACACTAGGGTGACCATATTTTCCAACCCTTCAGACCGGGACTCTTTAGGACAATGTTGGACATTTCCACACAAACTACCACTTCTAAAAACGGTGCTGCTCTTTCACTTTAATTCAGAGTAGGGTTGCATGGGTTTCAAGGTATACCATGATATAAAAGTTGACGGTGAACATACTATGTACATTTGCTTATATACAATATTGGAAAAAAAATGCACCTGGATGTTTACTCTCCTTTTTATTTTAGTTATTTTCTAAGGGGAGACATGTATGCACTTATGTACACACTAAGCATTTTCATTAGGATGGGGGCCAATAATTTAAGTGCTTAGCACACCTACTGAGCTCACCTTTCAACACCATGGATGCCATGAATGCAGCGTGTACACTGCTCTTTAAAAAGCTCTACTTTCTCTTCACCCTGACAGTTAAACATTAGCGTACTGACACATTCTAACAGGAAGAGCTCATTCACAGGCTGGCAATAGTTTTGCCAATGTCGCATTACTAGATTGACACACATAAAAACAAATCATGGTAAAACTGTAAATGGACTTGCACTTGTATAGCCCCTCTCTAGACTGCTCAAAGTGCTTTTACACGACATGTCACATTCACCCATTCACACACACATTCATACACTAGTGGCCGAGGCTACATACAAGGTGCTACCTGCTACTCAGTAAACCATTCACACCCACTCACACACAGATGGCACGGCCATCAGAAGCAATTTGGGGTTCAGTCTTTTGTCCAAATAATTTGACATGTGGACTGGAGGAGCCGGGGATCAAACTTAAGGGATTGATTAGTGGACAATTTGCTCTACCTTCGGAGCCATAACCACCCTCAGTGTTGAATTCAGACACTTTGTGCATTGTTTCCTGGGTTAGCGACAGAACATGATACACGTCTATGTCATATTATTTTATATGTGGTGAAAACTGGGATGTTTAGTGTTTAACAGATATTTGTCGGAACACTGGACACCCAGCTTGAAACCAGGACAATCACGGACAAACCAGGAAGTCTGCACACTGTATATGAGATGCCCATTGCAAAGATATTAAACCAGGCTGAGACAAGCAAAGACACCCCAAAAAGAAATCTCACCGCTCCCCTGAAGAGCTGCCAGTCGCCAAAGTTCATCTCCATCTCTTTCTTCAGCTCGTCCAGGTTGCACTGTGACAGCACTCGACCATTTATATTCGCCTGCAATGGACAGAAAAGGGACTCACTGGTTTATATAGAAAAATACAGTAAGTTTCTGAGTAAGTATCAGAAAATGGATCAAATTCTGAACGTTATTGACAGGCGTACCTTCTTGATGGTGGAGGTGTACTGAGGCAGCATGCTGGGATCGATTCCATCTAGCTGTCTGAGACGCTCACACACGGCATCTGTGTTCATGGAGCTGAGCAGGACCACAGGAGAGACCTACACACACACACACACACACACACACACACACACAAAATTAGAATATAAACAACTTATTCAGAGTGTTTTCTTGAGTTAAGGTTACCAGAGCAAACTCACATACTCTGTTAGACCAACTAATCACTCCTAACACATTGATTAGGGCAAAACGAGCAACAATTCCTGGCGAAGAGACATGCAGGCCTGTTACTGAGAGGCACACAGAGGTGCAAATCCACAATCCCACACAGTAATTCTCTCTATCAGTCACACAGTGTAAGTGTAAAAGTAAACAGAGCTGCCAACCTATCCAAATACACTGTTACCTGCTCTAATTCTTTTTTTCTCAGTGTATGCATAAGCACGTAAAGTGTGCACACTACACTTAAGAGATGGAGCCTGTAAGTCTGTGAGCTGCTGTCGAGCCGAGCCACACTAAAGAGGCAGCCGCAAAGCAGCTACGAGGCTTGATGTGACTAATGCCGGAGGCCTGTTGATGCTGTCTAAGGCCTCACAGACAGCCAGCGTGCCACCCGCTGGCACAGAAACTAAACAAACCTCATCCACCCGTCTCCCTCTAGTTATGCTTTTCTTGAACCCTCACTCTGGTTCCTTTCCTCCCTCCCTTCCTTCCTTCCTTCCTCTCACATTCCTTCCCTCTCAGCCTCCTGCGCTGACCTCCTACTCTCTTTTCCATCACTCTGTTTCTCTCTTCCCCCCTTCTCTTCCTCCTGCTCCCTCCCTCGTCATCTCTGCTCTTCTCTCGGCTATTAACACTATTAAGACGTGGCTTCAGACTAAGCCCCCCGGCTTTGTTTCTGGTTTCGAGGGAGAGAAGAGCAGAGCTTAGTCGAACTGTGAGTGGTTGTCGGACAAAAAAAAACAAAAAACACAAACAGCTCAAAAAATACAGCACACAATAGAAGGTGCCAACTTTTTGTAGTGGTGAGCGAGAGGATGAAGACTGGCAACTGTTCATGTCCCCATAGTAGAGGATTTACTCTAGAATGAAACTATGTTAGTGAATCTACTGAACTACGACAGGACGTGAGCTTGTGTTTTGCATTTACTTCTAAGTGATGAGTCTATAATATCTCTTTCTACGGCATGCTTGGTAGTACTGATTAGAGATGAGGTAGAGATACGTGGAAGATGGGAGTCAAGGATTGTATGTAGAGATGGAAGTAGGCATGAAACCAAACGTGTACCTGCTTTAATTTGTGAGGCAGCGACTTTAAATGCTTGATCGGGAGACAAAAAGAGTCAGACGGACAAGCAGTCAGACAAAAATACACACAGACATTTATAACACTACGAAGCTGTACCTGTGAAAAAGGAAGGGAGGAGGGGTGCAGGAGCAGCAATGAAGACAGACAGACAAACAGAAAGACACTAGCACACATGTTGAACTCATCAACTGGGGACAGAAGAGACATTGACAACAGAGCAGACAGACATTTATCTGTCTCGCAGCAGGAGAGGAGATGGCTCCTTTACAGCAGCCGCACATCAGACTGGAAAAGGAGAAGCTATTGGAAGTAGAATTTTTTACACAAGGAGATTTTGTTTTCGCTGGAGTCAGCAGGCTTCTTGCAGTCATAATCTTTGCAGACAGAAAGGATTGCGGACGAGACAGAGACAGAGACCCAGAAAGAAAATGAGACATCTCTCACACTCTGTGCAGAAAAAAGCAGAAGTTTCAATTCAGGGGGAAGGCCTTGAATACGACTCCTCGATTCAGACTGCGAGCGTGTGTTCTAAGAACGTGAGCGAAAGCGTGAATGTCTGCGGGTGTGTCTGCATGTGCGTGAGTTTGTGTGAACCCTCCCGGTGTGTGTGTGTGTGATAAGACTGTAATTACAGCTGGGCTGAGCTCAGGGCTGGGCAGAAGGATGGGGAAGAGGAAACAGAGCTCTGTGAGGGAGGAAGCGTCTTGGTAAGGAGATAAGCTCTACCAGTGCTGGGCTCATTGTCAGTGTGTGTGTGTGTGTATGTGTGTGTGTGTGTGTGTGTGTGTTGCCAGCCCCAACAGTTGCTCTGATGATAATCCCGGCAGCCCGAGGAATCCATACTCACACTTATATCAGCAAAGCAATTACACTGGGCTAGGCCCGCTTACATATCCAAAGACTCGCACAAATGAGCGAGCATGCACACACGGCCACATTCACAGATTTGCAGAAATACAGGCACATGTGAACGCTACACAAAGAGATCAAGTGTGAACCATAAAGGGGATAAGACAGGCTAATGTACATAGAAAAGCCAGGAAGGGATGAAACTGGGGAAATGTATACTAAGGAGGAAAGGAAACAAAAGTGTAAGGGAAGATACAAGGAACAAAAAGGGTGTGGAAATTTAAGACAGCGGTGGTTTGAAAAAAAAAAAAAAAAGGAGGAGGATCGAAGCAAAAGACACAAAAATAGAGATGGAGAACGGCAGAAACATTACACAGTAATCTATATTTAAATCTTTCAAACAGCTCCTTTAAATGCTTGCTGGCAGCGCCCTGATAAGTGGCTTTGTGGCGCGGAAATCTCCTGAGTAGTGTTATCATCAAATTGTTCTAATAGTGGCTGCTCTCTTTTAAAATGTATGAATATCTGGGTGTAGAGATGCAGTTCTTGTCAGTGCAGCTTCATGCATTGCTGAAGTGGGTTAACAACACTTTTATAAGAGAATGGGCACGGCTACTGTGCCGAAACAAGAGTGGACTTCATTCAGCATGTTATATTTTTACATATGCTAAACCTTCTCTTAATAGTAAGCAGGCCCACATAGTCACAGCGGATGCAGTATTTAACACAAGTATTCTGCAACGAGTGTGACAGTCTATATTCAGTCTCGGCTTTTGTTAAACCACAACAACAAAATAAGTTCTCTGTCAAACATACAGGCGTGCATTTTACACAAAACAAAAGAAATGACTGATGAGGTTTGTCAACAGGCAGTTAATGACGAACTGGTTGCGTATTTGCATATCCTCAGTACTCCAGAAATGTAACCATGTTACCATGGTGGGGTCAGAGGGACAGGAGGGGAGGCCTTCTCTTGCATCTTCTGCAATAGCATCCTGACATGAGCACAGAATGAAGACAAGGACTGTATATAGAAGAAGGCTAGTGAAGGTTGAGTTCATTACCACTCAATTTATGATTTACTCTGAACTGAGGAAATACCACCAGCGTCAAGAGCTGGACAGTTGTTGGGCACAGGGGTAGGCAAAAGAAGGTGATGTTAAAATCATCAGGTGGAGAAATGTAAAGGTAAAACATGTGACATCAGACTGAGGAAAGGGAAGAAGGAAACTTGAGGAAGAAATTCAGAAAGTCATGCAGTGGGTCGACATAATGGACATGATAGCATAATAAACATAGCATATTATTGAATGACATAACTGCAATATGTCATGAGCCTTTGTAAGTTTAATTATGGTTATAAAATGATTAATAACAATGGAACAGATCGCCCATAACTGGTGGTACTGTTCGGAAATATTGAGTATCAGGAGACACCCACATGAGCACTACCAGTGGTTCAAACTTTCATTGACTTCAATCACAGAAACAATGTTGTTGCCTAATATAAGGCACATATAGGCACACATCAGATAGATCTAGCACTACTTCTTTACTTACAAGTCCACTGGTGCTGTCCTTAGGTTGACCAGGTGGTTTAATGGAGGGACGCGAGGATGGGGGGACATGGTGGGAGTAAGGCCGTGGCAGGTGATACACATGATGGGGGAAATAAGGCTATGAGGGGGGGAAAGAAGTATTGTGGAGAAGAGGATGGGGAGAGGAGAGGAGGTAAAAAAAAAATAAAATGAAAATCATATGAGGGAGGTCAGGCACACAAACACACACACACACAAAAACGCTGCAGGGGAAAGATACTAACTTGCGTGTTCTTTCTCAGTAAAGTGAGATGCTGGTTATTTAAAACCCATGGTCATATGGTGGTTCAAAGAATTGTTTACTGCATGGTTTAGTCAGTGGTAACTGCCAAGTGGGTCAGAGTAATGCTACATTATGATAACGTGCAGAGGGCTGAGCAGCTAAATTCAGAAAGGGCCTTTTTTAAAAACAGTGGCTGTTTGTGGTTGTGTGGATCGGCGAGTGTCACTCAGGTGGCAGGAACTGCTCCTCCTGTCGCTGTTAGATAGTGGACAGCGATTACAATGTTATTTACAGTACAGGCCAAAAGTTTGGACACACCTTCTCATTCAATGCGTTTTCTTTATTTTCATGACTATTTACATTGTAGATTCTCACTGAAGGCATCAAAACTATGAATGAACACATGTGGAGTTATGTACTTAACAAAAAAAGGTGAAATAACTGAAAACATGTTTTATATTCTAGTTTCTTCAAAATAGCCACCCTTTGCTCTGATTACTGCTTTGCACACTCTTGGCATTCTCTAAATGAGCTTCAAGAGGTAGTCACCTGAAATGGTTTCCACTTCACAGGTGTGCCTTATCAGGGTTAATTAGTGGAATTTCTTGCTTTATCAATGGGGTTGGGACCATCAGTTGTGTTGTGCAGAAGTCAGGTTAATACACAGCCGACAGCCCTATTGGACAACTGTTAAAATTCATATTATGGCAAGAACCAATCAGCTAACTAAAGAAAAACGAGTGGCCATCATTACTTTAAGAAATGAAGGTCAGTCAGTCCGGAAAATTGCAAAAACTTTAAATGTGTCCCCAAGTGGAGTCGCAAAAACCATCAAGCGCTACAACAAAACTGGCACACATGAGGACCGACCCAGGAAAGGAAGACCAAGAGTCACCTCTGCTTCTGAGGATAAGTTCATCCGGGTCACCAGCCTCAGAAATCGCAAGTTAACAGCAGCTCAGATCAGAGACCAGATGAATGCCACACAGAGTTCTAGCAGCAGACCCATCTCTAGAACAACTGTTAAGAGGAGACTGCGCCAATCAGGCCTTCATGGTCAAATAGCTGCTAGGAAACCACTGCTAAGGAGAGGCAACAAGCAGAAGAGATTTGTTTGGGCCAAGAAACACAAGGAATGGACATTAGACCAGTGGAAATCTGTGCTTTGGTCTGATGAGTCCAAATTTGAGATCTTTGGTTCCAACCGCCGTGTCTTTGTGAGACGCAGAAAAGGTGAACGGATGGATTCCACATGCCTGGTTCCCACTGTGAAGCATGGAGGAGGAGGTGTGATGGTGTGGGGGTGTTTTGCTGGTGACACTGTTGGGGATTTATTCAAAATTGAAGGCACACTGAACCAGCATGGCTACCACAGCATCCTGCAGCGACATGCCATCCCATCCGGTTTGCGTTTAGTTGGACGATCATTTATTTTTCAACAGGACAATGACCCCAAACACACCTCCAGGCTGTGTAAGGGCTATTTGACCAAGAAGGAGAGTAATGGAGTGCTGCGGCAGATGACCTGGCCTCCACAGTCACCGGACCTGAACCCAATAGAGATGGTTTGGGGTGAGCTGGACCGCAGAGTGAAGGCAAAGGGGCCAACAAGTGCTAAACACCTCTGGGAACTCCTTCAAGACTGTTGGAAAACCATTTCAGGTGACTACCTCTTGAAGCTCATCGAGAGAATGCCAAGAGTGTGCAAAGCAGTAATCAGAGCAAAGGGTGGCTATTTTGAAGAAACTAGAATATAAAACATGTTTTCAGTTATTTCACCTTTTTTGGTTAAGTACACAAATCCCCACGTGTTCATTCATAGTTTTGATGCCTTCAGTGAGAATCTACAATGTAAATAGTCATGAAAATAAAGAAAACGCATTGAATGAGAAGGTGTGTCCAAACTTTTGGCCTGTACTGTATGTCATTTGCTTTTTAGATTATTAAGAAGATTATTTTCTCACTTAGGCTTTTCTACATTATTTTTTTCTACACGAGTCCCTTTTCTGTCTCACCCGGTTGTAGAAGGGGTGTTGCGGGCCAGTCATCCCACTGAAGTAGGCACTGTGAGGCTGAGGAGGCATGGATCCGGCGAAGGAGCCCGCCGGAGAGCATACGCCCGAGTGCTGGCCATAACCTGACTGCGGACGGGGCACTGCGTCTTGCAGGGGCAGCGTGGGATAGGTCACTCCTCCCATGTGCATCTGCTCCCTGGCCGCACGCACATCTAAGAGAGGACAGAGCAGGAGAAAAAACAGAGAGAAGGAAGTGTTTATCTGCGATGCTGACGATCATGTCTTGGCTATGACTATAAAGACCCTTCAGATCCACCCACGCATCAATAATTTAGCTTTATTCCATCATCTCAAGAGAGTTTAGCCAGTTGTGAATCCACAAGGAAAAATACATATCAAACAATCGAAGAACACGAGAGTGCGCTGTGGGGAATACAACAAGAACGATGTTCCTGAACATGTTCTCCTTAACCAAAACAGAAGACAATCAAACAACTAAATGCTGGAGAGAAAAACGGGCGCAGATGTTAAGATTACAACGATCTTCAACTGTGAATTCCATTCTCACTTTGATTTCTATTACTCTGCTTGTTCACAAACCAGCAGGCAGGCTGATAGTCTGTCTTTTCCGAATGATATGCCCGGCCACGTGATGACTCTGGCACATGGAGGCCCTTGCTGTCCTTGACAAATAAATTCACCCGCGTAAACAAACAAAGCAGATCATGTGAACTCATAGACACCATCACGTAAATGCTTCGCCACAATTGTTTTCACATAAATCAGTTTGACTTCGAGAGGAGTCGAGTAGGCGCTGAGGAGGGGAGCTTTGGTAAAAACCTCCCGAAATTAAAGTTAAATAAGCCCAGAGACAGAACAGAGTGGCTCTGTGTGGCTGGCAAGAAAGTAAGAACCAGAAACAGAAGCAGGCACCAGAATGTCTCCTGGTTATACAAGTGGCTGCTGAATGACACGCTGAGTGAGACCCAATCCAGCCTGCGAACACAATGGGGGCCTTATGATGTGAGTCAGGCTCATGGGCGGGTATCACTGACAGCACTGCCCACTGGCTGGCCACAGGACACCGGGCACCAAGTACCGACTGGCCGCGGAGGGAGTGGAGGGAGAGGGATGACTGGGTAGGAGCATTGGTCACCTTCTGCTCCCTGAGGACACGTGTGAAGGTGAAAACACCCACACACATTCGAGTGCACAAACACATGTTCCATGGTTACATTTAAACACACTTTCAGGACAGGAGTGCTGTACTTACAGACTGGATGTCTGGTTGTAGAGCTTGGTCAGCTGCACCCTTTGTGACTCAACTTCAGCTCAATGGAACAGACTTTGTGTGTGTGAGTGTTTTCTGTGGTCTCATAACACTATGATGCAGCAGCTTCACACTTGGCGTCATTGACACTCCTGTATAGGCTGAATGGACGCTGACGCACGGTAGCAAAAGTACCAGTGCCGCTCTGGCTTGCTGTTTGGTATTGATGCACTATTACGTCACTATAGCTGCGAACTGTGAAATTTGGTGCAGCAGTGGAGGCAGATTGGTGACAGCGAGTGAAAATATTGTCCTGATCCCACAGTGCTGTAGTGGAAACCTGCTCGACATTTGATTGTTTGGAAATGAGAAGCAAGCTGTGGGTTTCTGAGAGTCCCTGCAGTGGGGGCGATTTTAGAGCAGACCCTGCTGCAATGTTATGAGTAATGTCACTGCCAAATGAGCTGGCACTGAATGCAACACATCACATAGAGGACAGTTCTCTGCTTCTCCATGCTATTGTATACTCAACCCTTTTATGTAATTTAGACAAAACTGGACGATTAACCTCGTTCTCTCTCACACACAATGACACACACACAGATGCACACACTCTTTATCATGATGACAAATTAAAAGCGTGAAAGCAATGTCATCTTAAACATGGAGAAAAGAATTAGCTCTTTTATGTATTTTCACTGCGTGTTAACATATTTAATAAGTGAGACTGTAAGGATGTCTTAATAAAGCCATCAGATTTATTGCAGTTTAAAACATTTAAAGAGAATGGCATGCCTCAGTTTTGACTAGCAGCTGTTTTTAGTTTGCCCCCATTGATTTACACACAAAGACGGTGTGTTACTGATTTTTAAATAATACTTCCCCTGCAAAATGACAATTTGTGTATCAATTACTCACAGAGTTACACTGAATTCGAGAAGAAAAATTTGTTTTTCTCACATGCCTCCACTGTGAACGAAGAATCCAAAAAAGGCGAATATTTTGCGTGAATTAAAGTCCATGTTAAATCACGGCAAAACTATATCAGAACATCCATTTACTAACTCTCACACAACACAAGTCTCATTTATTCTTGCCAAACACATGCACTTTCGCCAAGACCTTACTATTAAAAAAACATCCCCTTATGAGTAGCGCATCCTAAGCGTGCCTTAACATATTCGGCTTGTGAGCCCCGCTTAAGCAAAGTTCAAACGCATGCACGTTCCCAGACACACTACTCAGCCTTGCATGAGACTGTTTGTATTGAAATGTTTGAAATTTTAACGTTTAAGTAAAAAATAAATGTGTTTGGCAAGTGCTGAGCATACGACTGGATAAACAAGATGTTGATTATACTACACAAGTTGTGTGAGTGTCTGTTAACGGATGTTTTGATATAGTTTTGTTATCATTAAACGTGGTCCCCAATGACTTTAATTCATAAAAAATATTTTCTGGGTTTGGATTATATGTTCACTGAGGAGGCTTGTGAGAAAAAACAAGATGTCTCCACGAATTCAAGGTAAGCAATGAGTAACTGATATACAAATGGTCATTTAACAGGTGACGTATTCCTTTAAATTTAACAATTCTATACTCACTAGACTAGATTGACATTTTATCCTTTTTGTAAGGATAAATGAGCAGTAAAGTTAAAATAATACATAGCTATAACTTCCAGACTAAAGATGGGTCACTCATTGGTTTGATGCGTATAAAAATGATGTGAATCACATACTGTGGGCTTCTGACACAATAACTCAAGGTTCAACTTTATTGTTTCTGAGGCTTTAAACCTTAGTATTGTTGTCATGGAGATGGTTTAGTTGTTGTTCTGTTGTCACATGAAAGCAACTAAATTATATCCACGACGAATGAGATAATCCATTTGCCGAGGAAGGTGATGAGATGTGGTTGAAAGCTTCAGGAAATAGAGTTGGAACTTGTATTGAGATTCTTCTTTGGTAAAACTAACTACTGTTTCCAAGCTCAAGAATAAACCATGCTAAATATGCTGCGGTCTCCACAGTCACCAGATCTCAACCAAATTTTTTACGTGTTGGACGGCACTCTCAAACACCATCATCAAAGCACCAAATGAGGGAATATCTTTTTCGAAGAATGTTAATCCCCGCAGCAGAGCCCCAGAGGATCTATGCCAAGGTGCACTGAGGCTGGTCTGGCAGCTCACAGTGGCCCAACACCTTACTGAGGCATTTTATGCTGTTTTTTTCCCTTAAATATTTCACCAGTCTGTGCAAATACTGAGTGTGTATGAACCTGCTATGATCTCCCTGAGTTTGGGGTCCAGGTTGACGGTGCAGGGCAGGAACATCTCCACATCTCTGGCAGCGAGAACCGGCGTCCTGGAGGACAGGAAGACCTCAAAGCTGCGGATGTCTCCATCAATCTCCAGCAGCGGTTCAACATCCTTAGTGGTGGGGATGTTTTTGGAGATTCTTGGAGAGAAAGAAAAAGAGAAGGGGGGGTTCAAGCATGAGTTTAAGTACTTGTAATTTCCTCGATCTGCTCAACATAATAATTATTTACAAATATTAATCTTCATGATTTAGAGAACATGACGACTATATTGTAAAACTCTCAACTGTGGAAAGCCAAATGCTTAAAAAGACAATGCAACAAGCTGTGATGTATTATTGGCATATGACACAGACGACAACATGTCAGTTCACTCTAAATTCTGACTGCTAGCTCGAAGCATCACATTCTGACGAAAAAAGAAAAGAGGAAATAGCAAGCAGTTCTGTTAAGATTGAAGAGATATGCAACGGTCATCATCATCATGAGAGCAGAGAGATAACTGGATTTAGAGAAGGCACGATAGTGAAAGGGGGGATGTTTGAGGACAGATAGAGTGAGGGATGTTATCTTTTCGCAGCAGAGGAGGAAACCTAAGAAGATGACAATCAGGGTAATTTAGCAAGCAGCAGACGGAAGCACGTCATGATGCGCTGCTACAGTTAACATGATGTTTGTTATCACAGGGCCTAAGTAAACACCATGTTTGAAGATTGTTCCATTACTGTGTGATGTAGTTTTTCTGGTCTATACTGCAAAAAGAAACAACACTGTGTTATATCACGAATGTCAGATTCAAATAATTTAGAGACAGAGCTCAGTTTAAGATTATTTTTTAAAAACTGCAGCATATAATATAAAATAAATCTAAAACTAGTATCTTAGAGGTGGCAACAGTGCCACTGAAATGGTGAATACTGAAGTGATGAGGTGGGAAATCCAATTTCTGCTGCACAAGGTTAAAAAAGATATCAGTTTAATCAAGGACGGTGTGACATGTGGCTGAGGCTACAACAAATACAAACACCAACAACCCAGAGCAATCATTACATCTCGTTAATCCCATCATTCAGACATGAAAATATGAAACTCTGAGTGACTTATGACACCGGCCATTTATCACCAGAATGTGCCACTCTTATCAGATGAATAGGGAGACTCCAGCAGGGAGCAGACATTTTTCTCATCTCTGCCTCCATTCCTCATCTGAACCCTTCATCATTTTCTCAGCGGACACTTTTCTCTCCCTGCATCCTACTTAACCTTCCCTCCTTCTACTTCAACCCCAACTCAACATCTTCCACATACATCACCCAGTCTGTGTAGTGGTATGCTCTGCTGAGAACACTGCTGAGAGGCCTGATGAGTTTGGGGTTTTTCCCCGAGCCTGATCTGTTTTTGAGAGTGAGCACAGGCTGGCCTTTCTGTGACTTGATTGGATGATTAGTACCGTCGCTGCGGCACGCTAGCTAAGTCAGCGTGAGGTCAGCATCTGGCGAGGGTTCAACACAGCGCACTGTTAGCTAATAATCCAAACAATCAGATAAACTAATCCAGTTAACAAACTGGCCAAAATGTTCCCTGTCTGCCCAATTTAGTGAGGCGCTCATACCCCAGTGCTGGGGAACAGAACAAGACTGCAGCACCATTCTGCACTCTGTTGCGAGTTACATCATTTACATTTTAGGCTTTTAGCTTATACTCCTATCCAGACTGCTTCCAGTGAGCGAACAGGTAGGGGTCCAGTCCTCTGTTCAAGGACATTTTGACAGGACAGATGGCTGGTGATGGACACATCTGCTGTTGCAAGGCTCGAACCTGTGACCTTGTGGTCACAGTATGTCTCTAACCAAATGTACAAGCCTGCAAAAAATACAGCGATGGAGACGTTCTAGACAGGCATTTTGACATGTGAAGTATAAGTGAGTCAAAAGCAGTGGTGGGTAGATTAAACAAAAACAGTATTCAAGCTCAAGTATTGTTACTTTGTAACTATATTGACTCAAGTAGAAGTAGAAATACTCATAAAAATAACTACTGGAGTAAAAGGAAGAAAGTCTCTTGTACAAAAACTACTATAGTAGTGAGTGACGTCATCAGATGCAATTTATTACATCAGTGTATTATATTCAGACAGATCCTCAACAAGTAAAAACAAATGTGAAGTGCATGTTCATTGTCATTAAAGTGCCTCTCAGGAAACAGACAGACAAAATACGAGCTGTTAACCACACTTCTGAAACTCTCTGGGGCATGTCTGCTTGAATCGAAAAACAATATTTTGAGTAAGGTTGTCAAAAATATCAATACTTTCGACACCACATGTAGAAAATGATATGATCTTTCAAGATGGATTTCAGAGTGAGCACTTTTGACTTTCACAATACCCTTTGGTACAGACAGCTGCAGACAGGATGCAGCGGCATAGAGGCAGACTTTGCACTGTAAGGCTCCAAAATAACATTAACATCTCTCTTCTGCTTAGAAGTGGTGATTTTCCAGCTCACAGCAACTAAATTTGATACAGCCTCTGGCTTTTGTTGGATACCTAGAGTTAGAAAAAAATGTTGTTGCATATTTCCGATTTAATGCTGGCGCAGTTAGCTTGTTTACTATATTAGGTGAATGCTGCTGTCACACTGAACGTCCTGCTGAGCCTGTTCAAACTATACTTGACAAAAAGACAACAACAAAAAAGGAATCGTCGAATGCCTCAATTGTTAATTAAAAAAAACAGTATGTATGCCTGGGACTTTTTTTCTTTATCTTTGCCATGGCATCAAAAGAGGTATTAAGTATCGTTTTTTTATGCGCGTATTGCACTGAAGTCTCGAGTGGCTGCGATCAGCTCTGATTGCCACATTGCAGCCGGAACGCTGTGCCAGTAGTGGCTTGGATGTATATATGTGTCACATAAACCTCTGTTAAATTTGTGGCACTGTGATTGGCTAGTGGGCTGTCTTGCTGTCGGGTAATCGTGAGCTCTGCTGAATATAAAACTTATTTATAGCTCAATGTATACCTATACAGTTAGTTGGTGAAGAAGTGCAACCTAAATTATTGATACTAAAATCTATACTTTTGCATCTGTGCTCCATTCATATACCTCTCCCCAACCCTGTTTGATCCTCCTGCAGAGATTCACTTCTTAGCAGACCGGCCCAGGTGGGTCACTCTGACCCCACTGTCCACACCCGACTGCCAGTACAGACGCACAGAGACTGAAAGAAGAGAGAATAGGCTGTGAGCGGAGAGGACACAGAGGCACAGCTGGGCTCCAGTGGACAAAGCCCTCTCAGTCTTTCTTCCATTAGAACCTTTAACAAGACCCAAAAGGTCAAGGAAGCTCCATGTTGGCACACAGATGAACCCCGCTCATGTGACCTCTGCTGGGGAGGATGAGTGGGACTGTGAAGGCACAGATGTTACCTGCATACACACACATAAACAGCGCCAGGGAGCGCCACCGGTGCTGATTCAAACAACATCGACAAAAAAACAACTGTGTAATGTCCACCGCGCACACCTGGGCAGTGACGATGGGGAAATTCAAAGGCACAGATGAAGGGTGGAGTGTATGCGTGTGTTTGTGCGCATGTGCAAACACATGTACAGTATGTGTGGGTGTTTGGTTCTTTTTCCCATGAACTGTATTAACCCGTATACAGACTGAGAGAAGCCTGTGCTTTTCCCCATTTCCAGCTGGCTTACTGCTGTTTATTTGTGGGTCTGCAGACACAGACCAACAGGAGCCAGTGACTCACACACAAACACACACAGACACAGACACAGACACACACACACACAGGGCACTTCCTTTTGCTATATAGAGAACGCCCTCGAAGATTTTCTAAGGAATCTTGAGTCTTTTTATAGGACCATCAAACATAACTCCATGGTGTGTGTGCACAGTTTGGTCTCACAGTGCCAAAACTGAGACGGACAATAATAATGAAACTCAGACTTATCTACAGTGATTGTATTTACTTCAGATTCTTTATTTCATACATTTATTAGGGGCTAACAGTTAAAGAACTCAAACATTTTGCTTCTGTATCACAGTCAGTTATCTTTGCAAAACAAGAGACAAGTGCTTCACACATATAAATCCCTCATGTTCACTGCCCAACAACAATGGCATCCAAGAAGCTAGCTACAACTGCACATATTGTGCTGACCTGCGTGTTTGCTCTGGCCTTCTGTCATACACTGCAAACATGCAGCAGCACAAACAGCTGCATCTTCCAAAGACAACCGGGAGCCGGTGAGAAGAACAAACCAAGGACATCCATCACTGAGTTACACCCAGACAGATGGAAAGAAAAAAGGGGAGAGCGAGAGAGTAAGAGGTCCACTCCTGATGTTCCCAGTTGACTGGACAGACAGGCCTGCGGGAGTGGCCGGCCAGACACAATGTGGAGCTCACACTTCAACACCGACCTTATAAGATCATCGGTAAAGATCAGAGAGCACCAACCATCAATGGACAGTTGATGAGGCAGACTTTAGAGAAGAACAAATGAAGGAAGAAACAGATTACAGACGAACTGACAGATGATAATTCATAAGACTGATTCTGGCCAACACGCTGAACTGCACGGTGTTACAGAACAAACAGCACCCATTAAATGACAACAGCAGTTTGTCAATGAGGTTTAACCACTTCAAATGACATCATTTGCAGTTAACTAATGATGAGTTGTTGGCCTTGGCATTAAGCAATTGACACAAATCACTTCAGACTTAGTCATCCTCACAGTGAACAGATGATAGAGGCGAAATGAACAAAGCCTTTCTTATCAGCAATCAGTTGCCAAATGACAAGATGGATGCTCGGGTTGGAGCGCCAAGGAAGCCGGCGTGCTACTTTCAAGCAGGCTGAGGACGAGTGCGATAAAGGCCGTCGGGCAGCCCTGCAGCCGTTCCTGCACAATGGGCCCATTGACTGGACTGAGCTTATAGCTGCAGCAGTACAGGCGCTTAGGCCCGAACACTCTCTGTGTGGCGTGGCCACTGGGAGCTTTCTAAGCTTATCCAAATGCTAATAGGTCCCAAAGCTGACTGGAGTATAGCCTTTCTTCTCCTCTCAACCTCCCACACGCTGCAGCTGACGGGACTGAGCAGAATTCATCTCTCTATC